GTCTTAACATGGTATCAGAGCCAAATCGATCTATGGTGTGGGCCCCTTATGAAAAAATGACGACACGATTATATTATCTAAAAAATGAAAATGACGAACCGACGAAAAAAATGAACGACGGCACGATCCAGACAAAATGTCTGGTCGTGAGGAGGGGTAATAAAGTTCCACACTGGTAAATTGAGAAGCATTAGAGTGCTCGCTATATTAAGTTTCGGGTTACTCCTCTTAACAGGTTGACCTTTTAGGATGGAACCCCGAGTCTTAACAATCTTCTTTTGATCTTGTAGCCAATCCTAGAGCTCTTTTGCCATCAAATCTTCATCATACACCTCCCGGTGACCTCCAAAGATCTCAATCCACTCTCGATTGCATCTCGAATCATCCCAATTGCTTCTCAAATGCCGACGCCGGACTCTAAATTCTTGATTTTGACTCCAAATGACACAAAACTCGAACCAACGCCTGGTAAACATAACTTGAGCTAAAATTGAGACTTGCAACACCTTAAATCTAGGAAAACCATCAAAATCCGACCCCAACACGCATCAAATGCGTGTTGTAATACAAACTTATCACCTCCCTACCTTTTACACAGCTCGCTCAATGGCTATCTTGGAAGAAACAAGATAACATCACCAACATGCTTCAACTTCTAATCTTTTCCACAACAACCATACGAGCACACTGGAGTCCTCTCATGGTCATGATGGTCGTGCATCCAATAATGGGTGATACCGATCCTCATCTCGTGGTGGTGGTCATGACAGGGGTTCTGATCGTTCCGATGACCCGGTATCTGAATTTCTACATGTCTCTACTGACTTCAACAACAACAATCTTGGGCACTCCCCCTTGCTCGTATCCGTCCAGGTACTCCTATACATGGTCCAATATAGAGCCTTTCCTCATCTCATGGTATTCTTGACCCACGTTCATCTCCGAATTTGGTTTCACAGTTTGACACTACTCTCTCTAATCTCTCTAACGTGGTCAACACTTGTACTCTCAACCCTCCGCACAACAGTTGGTTTATGGATACCGCCGCTACCTCTCATATGACGGCCGACACAGGTACCCTCTCGTCTTACTTTAATTTGCATGCAAATAATTAGAAAATTATTGTTGGTAACGGGAATGCCATTCTAGTTTTAAGTTATGGTCAAACTCAATTCCCTATCCCTTACCTCCTTTTTGTGTTAAACATATTTTTAAAATTCTTCATTGAAGGATTATCACACGATGATGCCAATTACAAGATGTCCTAGTTCGAGTGATCTCTATCAGGTTTGTTCCCGTCATTCATGTAATCCATCTCAGACACATCCGCTCTCTTGGCTGGTCGACTACGCTTTGGCACAACCTTCTCGATCGTCGAGGAGACCCCGTTTTACATAGTCTTAGAACAAATAATGTTATTGATTGTAATAAAACCAGTTATGCTGATTGTGTTTCTTGTGACAGTGTGTTGATCCAATAGATATCAGACATGCACTTAGTAGGGGAGGATTCTTGAGATCGATTGAGATTGTCTTACAGGCGCAAAGAGGACATTGCGTTCCTAAGTGGAGTAATCGTAATACTAGAGAATAATCTAAAAGGAGTTTTATTAAATTAATCTAGGACTTGAAGAATAAATGAGCTATTGATCCAAGACATGAAAGATGCAATGTGTCGGTACAAGGCCTCCATGATGGGAAACCATCAATCTAGGGCTTACGTTATTAAAATTTTATTTTTTTATTTAAAAATTTTAAATATTACTCCCTCTGTCCTGTTAGAAGGTTTCCACTTTCCTTTTTTGGACGTCCCATTAGAAGGTTCTCATTTCCATTTTAGGAAACAATTAACAATCTTAAGTGACAAATTAATCATTAAATATTAAAAATAATACATTTATAGCATCACAATTATCAATACTAACACATTATAATATATACTTATTAAAATTATTTCTCAAAACATAGCCGAAATACTTTATTTAATTATCACCTAAATAACTGTGCCGTTTTTCTATGGGAACCTTCCAGCGGGACGGAGGTAATATTTCTTTATTAAACTAATAAACTTATGTGAAGAAAGAACGTAAAAAATTAGCAATGCAATTAATAAAAAATTAAATAAATCAAATCATATGGAATTTTAGTTCGTAGATTCATATTTTACAATCATTCGGGATGTTTCTATCTTTGAGTTCCTGAATTGATAAAATTCCAATTTAAAATGATAAATAGTACTATTCTACCAACAAGTTGCATATCCTTTTAATGAAGCTCATCAACTAAGAACTCCAAATTAAGAATGCTCGCATGAGAGTAGTGTTGGGATGGTGACCCCATAGGAAGTTTCTCGGTGCGCGCATGAGTGAGGACAGTACTAGGTCTAAAGTGCAAGTATGAGTAACTATCTTGAACCCTACAGGGTCAAGGTGTTACACTTGGCCCTTAGAACATCTGAACGTCAATAATGAATTTTTGACGAAATTGTGTACATGCATCAAACGTCTGAATTTCTGGACCGCGCTCATCCTCGCGCTTCGTAATGGCGATTTGCTACATTCATTGGTACTCTCAAATTTTTACACAGCAAATCAAATCGCTTCTTATCCATCTATCACTGCGGTCCAGATATTGTTTATATTTTAGTATATGTTGATGACATAATCTTAACTTGTTCTCCAGATCATAAGATCATCTCGCAGGTCCATTATCACTCCTCTCAATCCAAATTTCCATGACAAATTTGGGCTCACTTTCTTATTTCTTCATAATCTCTATCACCACGCATCCTCAAGGTCTATTTTTACCCCAAAGGAAATACGCCTCTGAAATTCTAGCTTGAGCCAACATGACCAACTGTAATGCTGTCGTGACTCGATTTGATACTCAAGATAAGATTAATAGCACTATCGGCCCTCCTATGGTAGACCCCACTCTCTACTGAAGTCTCGTCGGCGCCTTGCAATATCTTACATTCACCCTTCTCGACAGCACCTATTCGTCCAACAAATTTGCTTGTTTATGCATGACCCACGGGCTCCTCATCTCCATGCCTTGAAAAGCATTCTCCGCTATGTCAGTAGCACTATTGGGCCACGGGAGTGCGGTGCCAACAATTCTGCCAGCCTACTAGTGCAATCGATTGTGCCGCTTTGCCTATTCTAAAAGGGGGACGGGCATGAATCACTATTAGTGATTGCTTTTAGTGTTATGGAAAGCATAATGATCCACAAATGGCATCAGAGCGGAAGGTCACAGGTTCGACCCTCGTCAAAGCATGCTGCTCAGTTGTAGGTTGGCAGGTGCTGGGGGATTATTGGGTCGTGGGGAATCCGGGGATGCGGTGCCAGCAATTTTGCCAACCTGTCAGTGCAATCGATCATGTCACTTTGTCTGTTCTATAAGGGGAAAGGGCGTGCTACATTATCAACAATTGCTTTTAGTGTAGCGATAAGCTCAACGATCCACATGCACTTTATCACTTGGTCTTCACCATTGACCTTCTCTTATCACTGATCTTATCTCCTATTTTGATGCTGATTGGGAAAGTTTCCCCAAACCCACCGCTCCTTGTCCGGATATTGTGTTTTCCTTGGCGACGACAATCTTGTCTGCTGGTCCTCTATACGACAACCCATTATCTCTCAGTCAAGTGCTGAGGTCGAATATCGTGGTGTTGCCAACGTCTTCGCTGAAACTTGTTGGTTGTGTAATCTTTTACTTGAACTTTGATGTCCACTTCACAAGGATACTATTGTCTACTGCGATAATGTTAACATAATTTGCACGTCTGGAAATCTCGTACACCATTAATAAACTAAGCACATCAAAATGGATATTCACTTTGTTCGCGAAAAAGTTGCCAATGGCAAGGTTCGGGTTCTCCGAGTTCTTCCCGACATCAATTTGCACATAATTTTACCAAAGGCCTCCTTTGTGTTTTATTTCACGATTTACAATCTAGTCCCAACATCCAATCGCCTCCTAGCTACTTCGACTATGGGGGGCGTAATTGCGACTTCCGTATTATTTCTGTTGCATGTATTGCATGGTCAATGACTCAATGTTAAACATCTCGGAGCACTTACATGTGTGACAATTAGTCAAAACTAATGATATATTCATAATTATTATTTGTATATATTTATTTGTATGTATGGATAAATAGTGTACAAGATATAATAGTGGTCTGACTAGATAGAATTATCAGTTATATAATTCATCCTTATACGTAGTCTAGGTAGATTAGAAGTCTACTTCATTGCATTTGTAATTATTATTTAAGAAATGAAAGTAATGAGAAATCTCAAGGAATTGAATTCAATATTTTAATTATATCTAAGCCCTTTGACAAAATAGCCTTCCTTAATTGATTGATTTATAGTAATGACTGCCTTCTATCTAGTGAAATGTTCCTATTGAGAAATGCACTTATCCACAAAGTAAACTAGCAATCAATGGAATGCATGATTATATTAAGACATCTTCATCATAACAACTTATTGTGGCATGTGATGAACTACAGACAAGTTTCACATATAATTTAATTGTTAGTTTATTAACATATTTGAAATGATCATATTTTGGATAAATATCTCCTTAGTAAAAAACGTTTTATATGTTAAATTGTTGCTTAGTAAGCACTAACCTTTCAATATTTTTTTAAGCAACATGTTACACTTTTTCATATTGACAAGTATAGCTCTAATCACATCTCATAATGAAAATCACAGGACAACCCATGCACCTTACATAACCCCATACCTAACCCACCCTTACCACTTTACCCAAATGTACCCTACCCCCACCTGACGCCCTACACCATCCCTATTACCTACCTACCCCTGACCCCACTTCCTATTCCACCGCATACCCTACCATGTACCCTACTCCACCATGAAAATCATCGAGTACTTAGCGGTTCACTGTAGACCTTGGAACAGAATGGTGAGTAGGTAAGTTGCTTAGCAAGGTGTATGTCTCAGTAGCTAGTACTCGCTTTTTTGGTCCCGGAACAAATCACACTAGGTGGGGGAAATGTCGGGGAACACTTCCCAAATTTATTTATGATTATTTAAAATTACAACAAATTAAGAGATACATGAGTTGAAAGAGAAAGATTAAAGAAAAAAGAGATACATTAACAATTGAAACTTCTTGTAGGAATTCCAAGTGTAGCTCAGATATCCCTATTGAATTTGTTATGGAATTTAATCGCCTTCTGCAGATAGGGTTGGTATGTTCTGGCCTCCGGTTTGGATGATTTATATCTCTAGCTTGAGAGCCGTCGCTAGCTTATGTGGTGAGTCGAACCTCGGGTCGATAGGGTATAGGAAGTAGTCGGTTTCATCACAAGGATTCTTGGAGTGACTTCTTGTGATCATGGGGTGTGATGTGTATCCCACCTCATTATATAGTTGGGGTTCCTCTTGAGCCGTGAAATTGGTCTTTGTTTTTTTCCCTGTTTTTCACCTGCGTGAATCCGTCAGAGTAGTCCACCTGGACTTGTGGTTTACCTGTAACATTAGAAAAATTATGAAAACAGAGGGATCCTCAGATTTAGCATCATCATTGGACAAGTTAGTGATTACCGCAGTATCAACTTCGGGGGGATCAGAAATAAGGTCATCATCTTCGGTATTTGTGGTGTGTTTTCTGTTGGCAGCAGTGGCTTCAATCAAGTGAGTATCAATGGGCACCATCATCACTGGATGAACTACACCAACGGTTACCTCCTTGTTACAGGTGGCCATCTGTGATTGTTCATTAATCAGAACAAGGTTTCAGTCACTGGCAATTCTGCCAGATTTACACGGGTCAAGTATCATTTCACATTCATAATTATCATCAAACGCAACCTGTACATCATAGGTAAGCAGAGGTTGGTTAGCTCCAGAGCTTGCCGGACTTTGTAAAACCTCAGGGGCAGTTTTTGTATGGTCATCAACTGTGTCAACTGGGGGCTCAAAATCACAACAGTTTTAAACTTAGGATCAACATGTGTGGTAACCTGGTAAATGACAGGGCCATTTGGCGCTGCATCAGTAGGTGCCCGAAAAGTCTCCGGTGTAGGGACCTGGTAGTCATCGGGTTTAAAAACCTGTGCATCCACAGGAACCTGAAAACCCTCATTGGTGAAATTGGCAGCAATAGAGGTACTCTCTATATCAACAAAGGCAACAACAATTGGCAGCATTAGTGTATCAACATGTGCATCAGCAATCTGTGTATCAACAAAGGTATCAAAAATAGCAAAAGCCTCGATTGACTCAACAACAAAGGTATTATGTGTATCAACATAGGCAACAACAGGGGTATTTAGTGTATCAACATGTGCATCAGCTTTATGTGTATCAACTGCAAAGGTATCAAAAGTAGCAGAAGCCTCAATTGACTCAACAACAAAAGCAACAACAACATGATCCTTAACCACGTGATTAGGATCCTTAACAACAAGAAGATCCACAATTGGGAACTCGAATCAAAGACCTCAGCTTGTAAAGGCATCAGTTCTGATTCCCTAATCAAACCATTCTGGTGGCATATAGATTATTCGTGGCCAAAACGAGAGCAAGAATTGCAGAAAATTGGGGGTTGTTCGTACAGAACGGGTTAAAAGAAGCCTTTGTCCCCAATTCCAATCCATGTTTTAGAGGGTAAAATTTTAGAGACATCAATATCAACTCAAAATCTGGCAGTAGATGGTCTGGTGAAATTTGCAGTTGGAGAATCTGTGATAAGTGGTCTCCTTAATAGACCTGCAATGTGAAAAAGTGACCTGGTGTCGTGTAAGTGAACATGCAACCCCTCTAGGGCACCCAAACTGGTGCCAGTGGTGAATCGCAATTGACCGAGAAGGATGGAGTCCATCGGGTCAGGGTCATCGCAAACCCGTAGTAATCCAAAGAATATTTAATCTCAAAGTCATTGAAAGTCCGAGTCAGAATGGAAATTAAAAAGAATCAGGTTCGGTCGAAGAAGATCGATGGAAAAGGGATTTGAAAACCTTAGGGCCGCCATAGCATTCGAAATCGCGATTAGGGGCGGGCGGCTTTTAGGAAAATTTCCCACAAGAGCGTGCCGGAAAGAAGTCGATAGTATCTGAATATCTGAATCAGTGAAATTGACAGACGGGAAACCTCTAAATCAGTCTTGCCATCGATACTCTAAAAGTCAACGTTTGCGAATGAGACATGTTGAGATTGCACGCGGTGGCCTGGGAGAGGATCCCTTACCGCTGCTGCATAGGAAGCCCTAGGTTTTCCGGTCGCAACCTCGCGACCCTCTGCCGGCGGCATTAGGATTCCGTACAAGCTTCAGGAGAGAAGATGAATGATGGAAGTTGGATAGATGCCGGAGCTTCTCGCTCTAAAAATCATTTTTTTGAGTATTTGTGTCTTAGCTAGTACTCGCTTATTAGATAACATAGGTACAATTGCATACATCATTGAAAACATAAAAGATATCTCAAGAAACTCCAGATTTCACTTTCTTAATAATCAAGAGTGACCTCATTACGCGGACTCGTGATGAATCATCTAGAGTGTTTTCACTTGAACTAATTTCTATTTACCTAATATGAGCAAACCGGTTTTAAGGGAAAATCAATGGTTATACAACCATACAGGAGATCACTTCTTGATCCATAGGGAAGAGAACACTGGTCATCTAGTTGAGTAATTGGTCAATTGCGAAGACGGGTCTTCATTTAGTCGGTAGACAATATATATGCGAACTGTAGTGGAGGAAATTCGATTGCTATGGAATCTAGCCAAGGGAGGTCTACTTCAACTAAGGGAGGTTTGCTTCACCAGCAATTTAGCAACTTCAGTTGTTCTTGGTTTTGTTTGATAAAAAATGGCACCGATGTCAAGCCTCCAATGTTTGTTTTGGAGGCATCATCTAACTTTTCCCATGCAACTAATTATCTTAGGGGATTAGGGGCTGCCTTAGGGGTTCATGTTTCTGTTCAGATTGAAAGTAAAATATTTAGATTTTCTAATAATAGCTCTCTTATTTTTCTTCTTTCTGAATTTAAGAGGGTATTAATCAAGAAATCTTTTTGAGACGAGAAACTGCCTTTTGGCTAATAGAATCGCTGATGAGATTTGACAATGGGGGATCTTTACTTTCAAAATAATGTACGCGCGATGTATAAACCTTCAAATTCATATTCGGTGTGTTACGAGTGTAACAATTGCGGTGGTTTCTTCTGTTTGGTTGCGAGAGAGAAGGGGTTTAATTCTTTTATTAGGACATCAATTGTAATTTCTGAAGGATGGCGTAATATAGGTTTATTTAGGGTTTTAATTTACAAGCTTTTGAGGAATTCTTAGACAAAAGGGTGGAAGTAGAGACTTTGCAGCAGAAGAATTCTTATACTCTTCTGTAATGACTGAACTAGAGATGAACCCCAGTAATTTTGATGACTCCGAGTCTAACCTATCTGTTGGGTCACGAAGATGCAGTGTCAGCAATTCTGCCAGCCTACCGGTACAATCCACAATTTCTATATACGAAGTATGAGAAAAGATGCTTTGGCTAAGAATTGGTGTGTTCAATTTCAAAAGTACTACCCGAGGAGAGTGCTGTGAATCAAACTCTCTCAAGATCACAATCTTTAGAAGAAGAAATTGAAGTGACATGTTTTTGAATTTTTTTTTTCAAATTAATGTTAAATTAAAAAGTATTTACGAAATTGGGGTTGATTTAAAACTATTTACCAAACTAGGGTTAGACAGAACCACCAAACCATTTGGCGACGTTGTCAAAAAATACGGAGCAGCTGCGCACAACCTAGTTAGTAGAAATGTATAGGAAGAGATGGGTGGGGCCTATATGTAAATAAAATCTCTCTTTTTTAAAAATTACTATAACTTTCATAATCTTGCATCAAGTTATGTAAAAATTATATCAAAATTTTTAATTTTTGATTATCTTTCATATGACACCAATATCGAATATATAAAATTTAAAAAATTCTAAAGACCATATGGAGTGAAAAAGCTAATTGCAACTATGGAGTATGCATTGTCCATAAACCTAGAGCCTGTTTGGTAGCACAAAAATTGATTGATTTGGCTGATTTTACTGAAATTTATGAAGTTCTGACTGAAGTGACTGCATTGGGTGATTGTGTTGATTTAAGAAAAAATTATTTTTAAAATATATTTTATTAATAATATAAAGAACAAATTATATGTAAAAATAGCTAAAATGATCATCCACAATAACTTCAGCCAATACAATCAAAAACTAACTTCAACCTTACTTTTCCTGCTTATTACACAATTCAACGCGCGAAAGCAAAAATTACGTGTTTGGCAAAAATAGCTAAAATGATCATCCACAATAACATCAGCCAATACAATCAAAACTAACTTCAACCAAGCATTCCAGCCCAGCTGGTTGTGAGGTTACCGTGCCTAGTGGGAGGTCTCGAGTTCGAATCCCGCTAGGCACACAAGGGTATGAAACTCAATGGAGTGGGTTTCAGCCCTGATTACTCCAGGCTCCCCCCAGCCCCCCTCCCCCAGATCCCCTTGGAGTAAAAAAAAAATACGTGTTTGGTGAAAAAGTAGGCTGATAAGCCTGATAAGCCGAAAAAAGTGATTTCAAACGGCCTACTTATTTGCTATTTTAAATTATGCAATTAACACCATAAATTTACATTTTGAAACAAATAATACATGATCATGGTACTTAACTAACTTTTTGCAAAAAATTTGGGATATTTGAATTATATATGAAATTAAGTTTTGGTTTTTACCGCCCCTTCAAAGTTTGAGATATTGTAATTATTTTTCTCTTTATTTTTTCATTTGAAATGTTTCATTTTGACCTAAAATGTTAAACATTTAAATGCAATAAAAACTTGGAGTTTAACTCTTGAAATCTTTTCTTGAAAAATAACTGAAAGATAAACTACGTATAAAATAATGACAAAATCTGAATTTTAACACTATGATTTGCTTATGAAAAAAAGTTGAGCTTGAAGAACTCTAGAAAGAATTTAGCTAAAAACTATGTTCGGTGAATATATTGACAGTGTTAGTAAGAAAAACAATTAAGAGGACGTTTGACCACAATGTTTTTCGACTTATCAGCCAACTTTTCCATATAACACGTAACTTTTGACAACAAATGTTATAGGGAAAAGTACAGAAAACGTACCTGTGATTTGGGCCATTTTCAGATAGGGGCATGTGTTTCATTTTCTGACAAAGTGAGACATGTGTTTTAATTCCGTTATCATAGCAGGGGCACGTCGTCTAACGCCGTTAGAAAAATTAACTCCAATTTTAAAAAGTCTCCGAAATATTAAAAGAAAAATACTGGGAGGTGCGCCTCGTCAAGGAGATCAACAAACTATCTTTCTCTTTGGATTTTTCGGCTCTATTTGGATTATTTTTTAAAAACAAATTCGCTAATATCAATTTTCTGGTGGAATTTCTGGAGATATGGTGGCTGGAAACAAAAAAATAAAGATAGTTTGTTGATCTCCTTGACGAGGCGCACCTCCCGGTATTTTTCTTTTAATTTTTCGGAGATTTTTTAAAATTGGGGTTAATTTTTCTAACGGCGTTAGAGGCCATGCCCCTGCTATGATAACGGAATTGAAACACATGCCCCACTTTGTTAGAAAATGAAACACATGCCCCTATCTGAAAATGGTCCAAACCACTGGTACGTTTTATGTACTTTTCCCAATGTAATAAGAATAAAAAGTAAGGTTATAGTTACTTTTCTGATTGTATTGGATGAAATTACTGTAGATGACCACTTTAGTTATTTTAAAATATAATTTTTTCTTCATTTTAGTAATAAAATATATTTAATAAATAATTTTTTCTTAAATCAGCCAATGCAGTAACTTTAGCCAGAACTTCATCAATTTCAACAGAATCAGCCAAATCAGCCGATTTTGTGCTACCAAACAAGTTCTAAGTTTATTGACAATGCATAGTTGCAATTATTAGCTTTTTGACCTGATATGGTCTTCGGATTTTTTTTAACTTCATATATTGAATATTATTGATGTCATTTGAATGATAATAAAAAGTTATACAATTTGATATATTTTTTGTGAAAATTGGAGCAAGTATATAAAAGTTATTGCAATTTAAAGATAAAAGAGTTTTTTTACATAGGGCCCACCACCCCTTGTCCTTCTACAGTTGGACGTAGTACCTCTTAGCAGTAGGAGTACTCCGTATTTTTTGACAGTCCCCAACTCGTTTGGCGGCTCTCACTAACCCAATTTGATCAAGCATTATTTTGATAAATAGTTTTAACTCAACATCAATTTTGCAAATATTTTTTTATTTTGCATTATTTTTGAAAAAAAGTCCATGTTTTTCGACACGAACATTAGATCAAAAACTTCTTGATCGCGCGAGAGATCCCCATGAAACCGTTTTAAAATTCCAAGACGAAGTGCAAGACTGGCCTTACAAAATTGAAGACTTTCTTTTGATTAAATTTTGTATTTTTTTTAATTTTTATCTCTCATTGACGTTTAGCTCTCATTAATTAGCGTTGTACATTCATTTGGTTTCTAATAAATTTTCGTTTGTATAAAAACAAAACTAATTAGATCAGACTTGATCATATCTAAACTAACTACACAAGACATTAATAGACTTAAACATATCAAATATGACCATATATGCATCACTGGAGGTGCCGTTCCTACCTAAACTTGGGCCTGAGTCGAGTTTCATAAAATGGACCCTATATATAGTATTTGTTTATCATATAGATTCATTAAAAATGGAAAAGATCCTGTCCAGCCGAAGGGACAGGATCCTCCGTTCGGCCACCCCCGTTTGAGGCGGTTCCCGGTGGAGTTTTTTGATGAGGTTTTTATGGAATGTTCCTCATCACGTCTAGTTTATCTACAAAAAATTTCAGCTAAAAATTCGATCGGGAAGACAGTCAAATAATTATTTGAAACATAACTGCATTTTATATGTTTAATTGGCGCAGTTATCTTCAAAAAATTATTTGACTGCCTTCCCGATGGAATTTTTAGCTGAAAGTTTTTGTGGATAAACTAGACTTGATGAGGAACATTCCATAATAATTTCATCAAAAAACTCCACCGGGAACCGCCCCAAACGGCGGCGGCCGGACAGAAGATCCTATCCCTCCAGCTGGACAGGATCATTCCTCTCATTAAAAATTAATGATTAAATATCACAAAAACGTAATTCTTAAATATATAACATTTAAAGTCTTACATTATACAACTTGTCGAACTGTTTTAGATGCAAAAGTACTAATCAAGTCTACATAGTTTATGTTATCAATACATTCCTTCTCGATTGATAACATAGCTAATCAATTCAACTTTTCTTGAGACATGATTGATCGTAAAAATGTTTTTATGAATTGTTGTTTTGAAAAACTCTTTCTGCACTT